GGATCCAAATCCAGATTCAACCATATTTTATAGATAGGTGAAAGGAAAGTAAACTCTCTGCTAACTGTTGTCTTTGGAAAATTAATGTAGTCTGAATACATATCTGAATAGGTTCAATCCACTTTTCTTCCAAATAGCAGAGGCCCTCTGAACAGTTCAAAAGTGCAGAAGAAGTGAGCACATTTTCCTGCTACCTTGAAATTCTTATAGAAAGGGGTCTGCTTAGAAACGGACAAAACCAATAAACGTGCCTACATAATTCTCAGAAAACAACCCATATTTCATTAATTTTTAATGTTGAGTATTTGAGGGTGACAGTACCCATGAACAGCAACATAACCTATGATAAAAGACATCAACATTAACAGTGAGAAGATGCAGCAGACTCGACCAAAATTCCCCTGATAAAAAATAACTCATGCTGGATCTTGTTGTAAAGGAGATTTTAGAATAGTAAAAACTAGAAGCCAGCCTGAATTCACTCATTTCTGTAGCAGCGTATGGACTTTCATTGAAGTTCATCTAAAATTGGCAGCTTGATCCATGGGAGGCTGTAATGGTTTGGGATCTAAAATGAAAGTTGTGTCTTCTGTTGGGCGATTCTTCAAGATGTATAAACAGTATGCTTAATTGTCTCATTGTGGCGTAACATTTTTTATAAAATATTTCTAATTCATGCATGGCAACTGTTTGGAGCCTCAAAATTGCACATGGGGTATGTTGGTCGATGTACATGTAAACAATACTCCTTCACACGCTCAGAATCTTTGGAGCAGTTAAGTTTTCTTTCCCCAGCGCCTATACCCTTATTGACCGTGAGGGCTCTTCAGCAGCAGAGCCGCCTGCTTCCTGGAGTCATGGGGGCCAGGCTCCATCCCTGGAGCTTTTCAGGCCAAGGTTGGACAGCCATTTGTCTGGGATGCTCTGAGCATTCCTGCCCTTGATAGGGGGCTGGACTGAAAGACCTCCAAAGTCCCTTCCAACCCTAGGATTCAGTGAGGCCCTGCAAATGCTTACAGCCGCTCTGACAGGTGTTTCTATGGTCAGTCATAGAGTCCTCAGCCTCTCTAGTCCTTGTGAGCCAGAGTGGGAATCGTTTCAAGAGTGCTTTGGCTAACCATAGAGTCCTCACACAGGCTGCCAGAGCAGCTATTCAGGCCACCCAGGTGGAGTCTGTTAGCGGTTGCATTGCAGGAACAGCAACAGCAGAGGCAGAGTAGGGTAGGAGGGAGGAAGAAGCACAAACCCCACAGTTGTTGCGGAACAGGCTTTTACAAGCAGAGGCAAGCTGTGGGTTGCCTGTGCCTGATCTCAGTGAGCGGCATGGCATGGAGGGGGGATCAGGTGCCCTTGTCCTTCCCCAGACTGATTCTGGCAAACAGTTTTATAGGCTATGACAATTTTGAAGGACCAAGAAGTAGGCCTTAGCCTAGAGAAGAGGCGGAGCAGCCAATTAGCTTATAGTGCACCAGTGGCTACCCAGGGGTGTTTAAACGCAGACTCTGGTTTATATGCTGCTTTGATGCTCTTAAAGGTGGCTGGTAGCATTAGAATGTTATTGCTAATAATTAGATTTGAACCCTTCCGTAGCATCCACCCTTACAGGCTGACATGTATTGATTGCATTGGGCTCTCAAGTCCAACCCATTGCTTGAGTGTAGAAATCCAAATTAAAACATCCCTGATGGTGTCTGGTATCTGCTCATACTCAGTAAAGGAGATCCTGTCATCCCCTTTGGTAATGGCTCTTGTCAACCTACTCTTAGTAGTTTTCTTTCCTGACAGTCAGTTGGAATTACAGTTATTGTAACTTATATCCATTCCTTCAGAATGATAGAGAAGTCACAAGCTTCTGAGTGACAACCTTTCAACTGTTTGAAGAGTGCTATTAAATTTTCCCTTGTCTTCTCTTTTTAAAGCTATTAACAGTTGTTTTAATTTCTCTTCGTGTGATTTAGTTTCTAGTCTCTCCATTCTCAGTCTCTCTCTCTGATCCTGTTACAGTTTTTATGGACCCTTTTTTAACTGTGGTGCCCAAAACAGGGCTCAGGACTCAGGTGCTTTTATTAATATAAGCTAAAATTACACTTGACTTTTTCTTTACAACCCTGTCATACTGCTGACTTGAAGTCAGTTTCCAAGCAGCTACTATTCCAAGATCTTTTTCCAGCCTAGTATCTGTTTTCTTCTGTCTTCCCACTCAGTACTATGTAATTGGCAAATATTATAAGCATTCCCTCGATCCTTTCATCTAACTTACTAATCATGTTACAGAGTATGGGACCCAATACTTTGGGAAGTTTCTACTGGACTTTGGCACTTCACTTTCACTTCACTCCCTCCAATTTGCTGGGGGAGAATTCATGTCTGTTTATTAAATAAAGATTTCAAGCCAGATATGCATCTGCTAAATTGTCAGTTTATCCAGAGAAGATTTAACTAGCTTGCTAATCATAATGTCATGGAGTATTTTGTCAAACACTTCACTGAAATCAAGATATATTACTTCTAAATTTCCACAATCTATGTAAGCTACATAATCAGAAAAGGAGTTAAGATTAATCTTGCAAGATTTACTCTTTTTAAATTTTTTTGTTGGGCACTTTGAAGAAAATATGTAAACATATACAAAAGAGAATACAACAAATAAATAAAAGAATATAATATAGATAAATAAACCAGGGGTTTTAAAAAGTTGTGGAGGTTATAGCCATCATGAAGGTTACAGCTTTTCAATATATAATCAATTAGTTGTAAATAGTCAAAATATATATCACATCACATTAAAGGATAAAAAAAATCACTATTCAGCTAAAAATTAATACTAAGAACCATGGTCAACACAATATAAATCACTCAATGGAATTATATACTGTAGTAAGTTCAGTCTATATTGCTAAAAATCTATTGTGATTTAGGTATTACGTAAAATTGAATATAGATTCTATGCATAAAGCCAAATTTTGTGTATGGTACCAATCCATGTATTAGATTATAGTCTGAGAATGATTTCAAGCTGAAATCTGTCAAATTTGCTTTTAAGGTACAAAGTTATTCCAGACTTCAAAGCATATTCCCACAACTTGATTAGCCAATTCTTCCACTGAAGGGATCAGACAATTTTCCAGTAAGAACATATAGTATCCTTGTAGCAGTTATCATATATGGAACTAATTCAGTATACTTTGAAGTTTAATAGGAGTATTGTAGGTTAAAATGGAAATTCAGCTTTTAAGATTTGTTCCATACTGTTGTAAATTGTTTTTCCAGAATTGTTGAGCTTTACAGCATAATCACCAAATATGAAAAAATGGTCCAACTTGCTCATTCCACTTCCAGCATTTTTTAGAATGAGTTGTCCATTTTGGCTATCAAAACTGGGGTAAAATACCAACAATAAAACATTGTACAGCAGTTTTCTCTGAGTATAATGTTTGGAGTAAATTTAATGTTTTTCCATTGAAATTCTTATTGTTGCATCTCTGTTACTGTATTCAAGTTGTGCATCCATTTAATCCTACAGTTTTTGACCTATTTGGTTTCTGACTCATACTTCACCAGCAATTTGTAATAAGGCCCAGCAATTGCTTCTCTAAGTTACATATTACAAGATTTTCAAATTCAATCTAATATCTCATTTCCCTCTTGTTTTTGCAATTCTTTTTGATTCTGTGTTACATATAGATACTGAAGTCAATCAGGTAAACTAGACCATTGTGAAGTAAGAATTTGAAATTATTTTCTCTTTGCAAGATTTACTTATTAATAAGACAATCTGAACAAATTGTTAACTCTATAACTGGGCTGACTTCAAGTAATGACCGCACTGTTTTCAAGGTGTTTACAGATCTAATAACAAAATGAAAAATTCAAGAAAGCAAAATTTTGAAATAACATGAAATTTGCATGCTCTGGAAATGAAGAATAGAATATGAACATCTTCATGGACAGTTCAATTTAATTAATAGAAAAGTCAAGGCCACAAAATAGATGAGCAAGTCAACTGTAGATGGAAGCCATAAAATGAAGAGTATCTTAACTTCCTAATCAGAGCTGATGGCTTCCCAGCTATGCATATTCTCTGTTCCTCTGGATCAGCAAGATCGGAAAAGGGCCATACTGGGACCTTGTAGCTTTCCAGGCATCCTGCATTCCATGCTCGTGCTTTTTCCACCTCCAGCAGCAAGGACCATGACACTCAGATCCCTCTGCCTACAGCAGTGTTGTCCAAACTTGGCCACTTTAAGATGAGTGGACTTCAACTCCCAGAATTCCCCAGCCAGCATGATCTAGAGCAGTGTTTCTCAACCTTGGCAACTTGAAGAGGTGTGGACTTCAACTCCCAGAATTCCCCAGCCAGCCATGCTGGCTGGGGAATTCTGGGAGTTGAAGTCCACACATCTTAAAGTGGCCAAGGTTGAGAAACACTGATCTAGAGCCTTTGGAGACCACTCAGAGGCCATAGCTAATTCAAAGTGTGGCTACCTGATGGTTGAATGGCCAGTCCTGGTTCAGCAGAAGCACACCATTGGCCACCAGTTGGTTTCCAGATACAGCTGAAAGTGCTGGTTATCTTCTATTTTTATGGGACTACTAATTCTGGGAGTTGAAGTCCACTCATCTTAAAGTGGCCAAGTTTGGACAACACTGGCCTAGAGGAACAGAAATGGGTACTGGACAGCTGGGAGCATATATTGCCAGTTTAGAGTTGGACAGTTGCTCTATCTGAGAGCATGCCCGTACTGTGCACTATGATGGCTTAAAGGGAGTTTGGTCTTCTCTCCCCCCCTCCCATTGCTATTCAGTTACTCTCCAAATATCTTTTGCTGAGATAGCACATAGGCCCTCACTCAGCTGATGGCAGCGCAGCCCTCTGGTTTTCATGAAAGACAATGGAGGGAGAATCATATTCCTGCAAAGCATAGAGTTAATTGCTGCTGTTTGTTTGTTTGTTTGTTTTTCCAATTCTAATATTTATTAATGTATTCCATTTATATACTATCTGATTCAATATGGATTTTACAAAAGTGAGATGCATGCAAGAAGAGCCAAGTCCCAGGCATTTTATGTTCCTGAAAAGATGCGAGTCTTCTGTCTGTTAGTGTTAGTACCTTGATAATTCTGAAATGCAGAAGACGAAAGGTGAGGACTGACCTGACATACAGAATGGCAAACTTAAGTGAAAACGCTGAAGTTCCAGAGAAACCAGTTCGTGAAATTAGTTTTGAGTTCAACAAAAGAACAAAATTCCAGGATTTAGCGCTATGGCAAGAAGTGGAGGTCTGTACTTTCAAAAAAGCTGAAAAAGAGCAGGAGAGGCTGAGAAGTGGCCCAGCTAACTAACGATTTTGTTCAATTGTACTCTGAACTGCAACAGAGTTTTCTTTCCGAATGATCGAACAGCTCTCCCTTTCAAAACGCATTTGGAATTCCTTTCCGTTAATTTCAATGTGTTTGGAGTTACAGCATTACCAGCATCAGCAGTTCAGCTAGGGGAGGAAGAGGGCTGTGTCATATTCATGATTCACCTTTCTTCCAGGAGTACAAGAGACAGCAAGCATGGGAGAATTCTTTGATTTTATTGCCATAACAATTGGGTTGGAAAACTGTTGCTGAGAAAGCATAGCTGGCCTAAAAACACATATTTTTTAACCCAGCAAAGATAGTCCAAGTCAGTATTCCACCCAGTTAATACTCACCAGTGTGTCAGTTTAGGCCCATTTGCTATTTTACACGATGGGCCTTAATAAATACAGAGTGGAACATTGGTCAGTGGCCGGAATTGAGCTGAATTGAAATAAATATGAATTATTCCACCTTTACACAGTGACTCTGCTGTAGCCTGAAGCTTTCATGCAATTCTGTAGTCACTTTGAAACTTAGACTTTTTAAATTCAGTGGGACTTAACTCCCAAATACTGTAGATAGGTGTCGGTTTGAAGCCAGCGTAGAAAAGATCAGCATGAGCTGGTCAAGGCCTCTGTAGAATCTTATGAAGCCTATGTAAGCTAGTCTGATAAATTAAATGCAGAATTATTTCTTGGAAAGTCCAATGGTTGTAGACACTGGTGCCATTCCTACTTCTGATGGTTGTAACTAAGGGTGATTTAACCTGAAAATGATACGACTAAACCTTATTTTATTTAACTTCTATCTTCAGGTAAAAGAACTTGTTCTTGACAACTGCAGGTCAAATGAAGGAAAAATTGAAGGCCTCACAGATGAATTTGAAGAGCTGGAACTATTAAGTACAATCAATGTAGGCCTCACCTCAGTTGCAAACTTACCAAAGTTAAACAAACTTAAGAAGGTATGTAGATGTCCAATCCTTGCTATTTTATGAAGAAAAACAGGACTTTTCAAATAATTACTTATGTAAAAGTTCATTGAACCCAATGTTGAATGGAGGTTTCTGTGTGACAAAATAGTAAAGCAAAGCTGTGGATCTTTGTTAATAAAGGTGGTATAATCTAATGGTGAAGTGTAAAGTGCAAAAATTTCCTAACATTTCTAATTTTTGTTTATAAGAGCTCTGCAATTTGTACCCTCCTTTTACGTATGCTGCTCTCGAACTGACTGCCAGTTCTGTCTCATTTGATAGCTCAGGTTATCATGCAGGTTTAGAAGATGGCAGAGCTACTGGCTGTCCCTGCCCACCATCAACTCCTGTTCTTCCTTGGTAGCATTTTCTTGGCCAAGCCAAAACTACTTCACCTTTGGAACCATCCTGACTCTTTGCTGATGATGCCCAGCTGCCCCATTGCTTCCTTTTTCTCACTCTGTGTTCAAAATTTGTTTCCTCTTCATTGCTAAGTTTGAAACCATTGGCTCTGCCTGCCCTCACGCTTTGGTTTCATTGCCCTTCCTCCAGCAGCCTTTTGCTTTTCTCCCCACCTCGCTGGAGGTGTTAATTCAGCTGCTTTCTTTGTCAGTGTCTCTCTGCTCTGCATGTGGTTCTCCATGCTTCTTTATCACATCCCCTCATTTCCCATATATCCTTTCTTTCACCATTCTGCCTTCCTTTCTGCTCCATAATTGCTCTGTGGCTTTCCTTGTTCTCTTATTGGGAATGAGTGACTGACTGACTGACTGACTGATCGATCATCTCACATCTCACCTTCTCTCTCCAGATGTTGCCTGTTTAGCTTTATCTTGACTTCCAGGTGCTATATTTGTCCCCTGTCTTGGCTTTCCTTTGTCCAGCTGTTTTGATGCCCATCAATGTAATTCCCTCATCCCACCATTGGCTCCCAGTCCATTTCTGGATTCAGCACAAGCTCTGTGACTTCACCTCCAAAACCTTTCGCAGGCGCGCTCTCGTCTCCAGGCTCCCTCTCCTCTTTTGTTCTTTTTCGCTTCTTCAGTTCTTCACTTTCTCCAAGCACCTTTGTGACACCACTGTTTTAACTTCCTTCAAAATCTCTCTTAAACCCTTTGCATCTGGAACAACGGCATATAGCTTCTAGATTGATTCATTCTCTTTGGGGGGATCCGGGTGGAATTTCAGATTGTTGGTGCCTCAGAAAAGGGATGTGTCCTCTGTGAGGTGACATATGTGCAAGGATAGGTCTTTACTACAGATACTGAAGAGCAAATGCTATATAATTCTAAGATATTAATAACATAGTTGTGGGGGTCTTTTTAATTGGATCAGTATTTATCTCCTCAGCTCGAATTAAGTGACAACAGAATCTCAGGAGGACTGGAAGTATTGGCAGAAAAGTGTCCGAACCTCACACATCTAAACCTAAGTGGCAACAAAATAAAGGATCTTAGTACAATAGAACCTCTGGTGAGTCCATGCAGACTTCTTAAGTAACGACTGATTATCAGTTTTGGATACCCCTGAGGTGGTTATTGTAGCTGCACATTCACCTTTGCCTCCCACCCTGCACCCTCTTTTGCCCTTCCTGCTTGCTCCTGGCTCCTGCCTGCTCCTCAGCTCCGTCTGTCCCCTGGCCCCTTCACAGACCACCTGCAGTGCCCAAGTGACCAAGGAGTCTGGGTTTCTTAATCACACCTTGCACTGTGTCCCACCCTTGACTGCCTTTAATTATGTCTCCTGAGGCCTACCGCATTCCTGAGCGGTAAAAAAGCCTGTAAGCCAGAAGATGAAATGGGCAAAAGATATGTAGTATAAACTCAAGTACTTTAAAGGCAATTTCAGTCACCCTTGCATTTTTATGGCCCTTCCTTTCCCCACAAAAAAGAGCAAATTTCTGTATTTTTCAGTGGAGTAGGAGACATTTCCAAATTAGCTCAGGGTATGTTCCCCTGCTCTGCACTTTTGTGTCCCTTGGCTGCGTAGTCTTCATACTGGTGTTGCATTTTTAAAAGATTCTTGTGGTTTTCCATAGTTCCTTCAGTTTGCCAGGTAGTGTTTTCCCCCTTTCCCTCCTTTTTGTAAACTTAAAAGAGTAGTTTCCTTAACCCTTCACATTTCTAGACATTTCCATAGAAACAATTTCTGTGGACGAGCCAGAAAATAAAGGAGGGCCATAGAAACATGGAGAGCTTCAAGTGAGGTGGCAGGTCAGGATGGGGCGACGCCTCTTCTGAACATAGAAGCTGAAGGAAGGACAGTGGCCATCCCCCAAACTGGGGTGCCACTATTGTCCTCCTTTTCCAATCCCTGTGAATAGCTGGACTGAAATGTGACTAACATTGTGACAGGCAACGTTTTCAGGTCTGCTTGTGGCCTCCAGATAGCACACTGTCACACTTCGTTTGCAGCATGTGTGTCGTTCTGCTGAGAGTCAACATGGTTTAAAACCAAAAGTATACAAGCAAAAAGGTGATAAAAGATGGAACAATAAAACTCTGGTACTGCGTGGTGCATTTGGCAGCCTCTTCCCCTTCGAATGGGAGTGAGCATTTCCATTATTTTAATCTAATAGAAGCCCTTTCAGTGCTGACACGAATAGATAAGAGACTTCAGTATTTGGTATTTGTATCTGGTACGCACTGATATTTGAGCATAGTATGTGTCAGGCCTAGCCCAAGGAACTCCAAGAAACCATGCCAATTCAGTCCAGCTATGTTTATTAGCTACAACCTCTAGCAAGAATCTTCCCAGCCTAAAACCCCATTTCCCAAAGTCCCCCAGCCACAACAGTGTGAATTCCTCAGGGAGGTGCCAGTCTCATCCTCTCGCGGTTCTGGCGAGCTAAGAAAATGTTTGTCTCCCTGAGCTCGGCCTTCATAATTCCATTCTATCACAGTATGAAACCTATTTTTCCACCATAAGAGCCCCCCTGTGGGGTAGGTTGGGCTGACAAGAGTGACACTGGCCCAGTCATCCCGTGAGCTTCTGTGGCTGAAGGTGGCCTTGAACCTGGGTCTCCCTGTTCCTACTCCCAACATCACAGACATTGCACCACACTGGCTTTCATAATAATAAATGCTATGGTATGTTACTCTTTCCTGCCTTTATTTATGGCTTGACAAGGGAGTATCTGCAGAATTGGTTGTAGGTTTCTGCATCTCCTTCTGGTAGTTGTCTAAAGAGATGATGTCTGTAGTCTGGAAACAAACAGGAGAAGGCTTCCTTCATGAGATTTAAAATTCTTGGTACACCTTGACATGATCCAGCCAGTGTTTGTTCATTCTTGGGCTTTAGACAGCTGTCTTGCAAAGACTGCCTGTGGCTTTAAGTGAAACTTAAATCCAGCCCACCTGAATGTGGCTACCTCCAAGACCTCTTGTAGGCCAATTCTGATCCTCCCCAAATGGGCATGTTGTGAGTTCTTGGTCACTAGATTGAGACAATCTCTCTGCTTAAGAAAACTTTTGATTACATATTTGGAAGCTAGAGTTTGTAATAATTTGCTTTGTTATAATTCTGGCACAGTGCTGAGGGTTGGAAATGAACCCCTTCCTTTGTCTTTCAGGAGAAGTTAGAAAACCTGAAGAGTTTAGATCTTTTCAATTGTGAGGTCACTAACTTGAATGACTACAGAGACAATGTCTTCAAACTTCTCCCTCAACTCACATATCTGGATGGCTACGATCGAGACGATAAAGAGGCCCCTGATTCGGATGCAGAAGGCTATGTGGAAGGCCTAGATGATGAAGAGGAGGAGGAGGAGGATGGTGTGTGACCTTGATCGCTAGCTTGAGGTTGACTCCCAAGAACAAAACTCCATATCTTTGTCCTATTTGATGCAGTGAAACTATTCACAGAATAATCTATAGCAGTTCATGGCACTCCAGTTTGCCCCGGAGGCGGGAGACAGAATGAATCCTGAAAAATTCCTGGATTCCAGTGCCCTCCACTTCTCCTTGCCACCAGATAGGATGAATATTGGCATCTTGCACTGGAATGGTGGGGTAAACATATAAGGGGACCACTGAATATCAGAGGTAGCACCTAAATGTTGATTCTACTCCTCTTTAAACGTATTGGAAACACAACTCCTGGATATGATAATGGCCACTCTTACAGAATGCTTTCAAGAGGATTATAATAAATTGGACGAAGAGAAGCCAGAAAAAACCACCAATGATGTACATCCTGATTCTAAGTTTCCAACAGGTTTCAGGCATGACTCCTGTTGAAAATCAGTGACTACTCAAGTAGATGGACCCCTTTGGATCCAATACAAAGGGTGGTTCTTACATTCATGCTCTCTTTGGTATCGTAGATCTCTTTGCCGCAATCCTAGATGCAGGGCTTTAGCTGCATGCCATGTCACACATTGCAGAGGTGTGCAGCATGTAGCTAAGGAACCATTGGTGATTGACCTTGGGATTGTGGGAACCCTATCCTCATTTTGCAGTTAAGGTTAATGGAGAGGCAGTTTCATTGCAGGTCAGTTATCTCTGAAAGGTTAGAGCTAGAAATAAAGTTGACAAATGAAAAATATGCAAATAATAGAAATGTAAGCATTAATTAAGCTAAACTTCAGAAATATTTGGAACTGACCCTCACTTCTTTTCTCAAATGTTCCACTTGATGACAAAAGCAAGTGTTTTTGCTTGTTTTAAATATATTTAGCTGGTTTGGGGCGTTTCCCCTTCAATTTGCCTCTGGTGAGAGTGTCAGAGCTACATATGCTCTGTTTGCTGAACTTCCTTTGTCTTCCTTTTGAGTGTCCTAGAAGCAACTTTGATCATTGCCAGAGACAGAATATTTATTTGTTTCTTTATCTCATTAAATACTTCTCTCCTGCCTTTGGGGCCCATCTCCTTTTTGAGCACAAAATGCCTTGCATAGCCCTTGGATCCCCAGTGTAGGCTCCGGTTGATCTTAATCTCTTAGATGCAGAGTACAGACACTTAATTGGTAGCCCCAACTTTGAATCAAGATAGCTAAAGGAGGGTGAGTGGGAGAATGGGAATCTGGTATTTCTGTACTTGCTCAGTGCTACCCTCCTTTATTCCTCCTGCAAAAGTTCAGGGCTTGATCCTGCTCTGAATGCAATGTTGCTCTTGCACTTTATGGCCTGGGACAGACCAAGCAAAGATTTGGGAGCCCACAAGAAGATAGGATGGATTCCTCTCAGTGGATCAGGTGATAAACTGGCTTGATTTTTTCTTTTGTTTTTATAGAAGAGGAATATGATGAAGAGGCTCAGTTAGGGGACTATGAATTGGAGGAAGAGGAGGAAGAGGAAGGAGAAGAGGAGGATGTGAGTGGAGAAGAGGAGGTAAGAATGTAATAATTGAGGATGAGAAATCAGCTGCAGGCATCTTGCTTTGGAGTGAAGGGTGGTGGGATCTGTGATCAGCTAGAGCAGATAATTGTGTCATATCCAAGTGTTTGTCACGGCATTTCTTCTTCCAAACCAAAGTAGCTTTTCCAGTTTAGACAAATTCTAGACTGCAATAAAACACATTTGCCTTTTCTGTTTTGCAGGAGGATGAAGAGGGTTATAATGATGGTGAAGTAGATGATGAAGAGGAGGATGAAGAAGCTGGTATGTGCAGAACAAACCTTGGGAAAACCTCTGCCCTCCTTTAAAGGCTGAATTGTGACAGATCTGAGAGGTTGAAGGTTGCACCGGGATGGGGTTACATTCTTGAACTGGAACCAGGGAGGCCAGGTTCAGATCATCCCTCAACCAGAGAGCTTGCTTGGTGATCCTAAGCTTGCCTCTCCCCATCAGCCAACCCCTCCCTCAGAGGGAAGTTCTTATGGGGAGAAAATTAGGAGAGGCTTCCATAGAAGATGCCTTGAGCTCTCAAGAGGAAAAGTGAGATACACAAGACCTGCAGCTGCTCTTTGGTGGGACCAGGAACTTCTTCAGAGAAAAGTTAGTTTATTTATTGACTACAGGGCTTATAGGCTGGTCTAGTCAACCAACTCCTGAGCAGCCTACAACTCTCCAATATGCAGCTGGAATTAAAACAAACAAATATCAAACAAATTAATGCCAACACCTTACATTATAATTGCATAAAACTGAGAGTCATATTCAGCACAGTCAAAAACCAGTCCATCATCTAGAGGTTTCTTCTTGACATGAGTGGCTGCTAAATTCAGACAATAGTCTCTATGTCACTTCTTATGTTCTGAAAGAAAACCATGTTTAAAATTAAAAGCGTAAAAAATAGTCCATAAAGGCTATTTTTGGGTTCTGGGTTAATATTTTCTGGGTTAATGTTTTCATTTCACCCCTCTTCTTTGTACATATTTTATGTGGGGAAATGGTGCACTGCTTTTAATGCTTAGCTAACAAGTTTCAACCACTGTGTGCCCCCGGTACTACAAAGGTTGTGGAGTGAAACTTTACTCCCCATGTCCCACCAGAAAGTGGGAGTGGAGGGGTGCTGCTGAATCTGGCTGGTGGTGGAAGCTGCTTCGCTCATGGCTGCCCTGGCCTTTGCCCACGTAGAAATCACGCTAAACATCAGTAGGTCGGATGTGGGGTGTGAGGACTTCCTCACTTTGCAACACTTTGCCCTGACCAGAGAATCTCTCCTGTAGGAGGAGTAACAGCAGGCAGGGTTGCACATGGTCAGGCATCAGACCTGCGGGGAGGGGGGGGTAGTTTGCAAGCCAAAGAAATGGTCCCCTCATTCTGACCCTGCAACCCCTTGCTTTCACAGATGAAGCACGGGGAGAGAAGAGAAAACGAGAGGCCGATGATGAAGGCGAGGAGGAGGATTAAATGCGACGTAATCTGTTTTGGGAGAAAATAAGTTTCCTATTGTGATTTGACTGTTTATACCCTGTATTTTCACCCCTTCTCACCCCCTCCCTGGAATGTAATGTTGCTGTGAGATCAAGAAGGAAATGCTTAATTTTGTGGGCAAGGGAATTAAAATAACGTTTTTAAAAAAAAACTGCCGCTCAAACTGCTACATTTTGTTTCTGAAAAATTTATTTTATCTGTTATTCCTGTTCATGCAATAGCAAATAGAATGCAAGAGATAAGTTTGTTTTTCTTGGAGTGGCTCATCCTGGACTCTTTGGATTTTTTAAAAAAAGTTTTTTAAAAATAAATATGAGCCAGAAGATTTCCACAATGATTCAAATTGATGGCCGGAATGGGGAGGGGAGAGGGATAATTGGGCCCGAGGACTCAGTGGCTTCCTTTTTTCCTTTTTGCCAGTTTATGAGGATATTGTAAGTCTTTCTTTCTTCTCTTCTGGATGCAGCAAAATTGGCCGTGGGAGCATTCCAGCCGCCACAGCAGGGGTGCAGCAGCATCTTGATAAACAAAGTGTTTTCTTGTTACCTGTTTTGTGAATGGCTGCCGTTCCCAGAAACCCCTTTTCTTCCACTTCCTATCGGTAACATTTACTTGGCTGTTTGTAAATAGTGACCAAATATGTAATTTCTCTCTTTCTCTCTTTCCTTTTTATTTGGTTTGTGGGGGTGACTTTGCAAATTTTTATTTTAAAAAATCTTGTAGAGCACGGCTCCCTTGGTAAGCTCTCCTTGCATGGGAACTGCTCAAGAATATGGCAGGATTCTTGTTCAGCTCCCATTCCCTGTTGGCTTGTATTCTGGCTATTAAGGGAGTATAGAACAGTTCTCTGTAAACGGCAGTCATGGAAATATCTATAAATATATATAAAAAGTGTTCCTAATTTCCTGAGTTAACTGGTGAATTGCATTTGACAGTTGTAATAAAAAAAGAAAATGTTTGAACCCTTTTAACTAAGGTGTGTACTATTTTGGTCTGTAAAATACTATATATAAAAATATATTAACACCTCCTTGATATTAAGTGATGAGAATCTGTTTCCACTTGTGCTCTACAGTACTCTGAAGATTTTTGCAAATCCTTTAAATACCAGAGAGGACAATACTGGATGCGCAGACCAGTCGGGTCTCTTTTCATACACTCAAGCATGGATTGCTGATAGAAAAGTTGTATTTTCTTAAAAAGTCAGTAAATTGACTGCAAAGTACCTAGTTGAATGTACAGATTTAATTTCATGTCCCTCTTCAAAAAGAGCATTAGAAGTGACTTGTATTTTCTAGTCAGTATCTCATCTGTATATAAACAAACACAACCATTGCTCTCTTCCCTCTTGCTCCCCAAAGAGCCAAACTTTTTGAGTTTTATGTCTTTGTTAATTATGAATTTCAATAAATCTTTTTATACAATTTTTTCCTGTGGCTTATTGCAGTAAATGGGCCACGTGGGAATCTGCTGCTTGATTTTAAAGAGTTTTTTTCTTAAGAACAAACTTGTAATTATTTTAGCAATCTTTAAAACATTCTTTTAAAATTAATCGTGATGGCTCAATTCACAGAAGCAAGACACTTCAGTGTAGCAGGTGATGGGGACTGGTTACATGGCTCTACCTTCATTGTGGCATTTGCAGCCTTCCCAGAGGAGCCCACTAGGAACCTGGAAGAATGGTAGCATCCAGGACATGTAGAAGCTACCTTTCCAGAAATGGAACATTCCAGAAAACTCTGGAATATTCTGTTTCTCCTGTGGGTCACATCGACCTGCCCATTCTGGAGGAGAAATGGAAACAGCCCAGAGCTCTGTGGAAAAAGCAGTTTTGCACGCCCCTTGTGGGATATCTGGTGGATCTGATGCAGCAATGTTTTTCATGTCAGGTTAGTGAGGAGAGGTTTTCCAACCTTGGCAGCCTCATTGGTTTCCCATTTCCATGAGATCCTATGGGAAGATCCTATATTAGATGGGATCTTCCCCCCACAGAGACCTCTCTCCCAATTTCTCGGAGAAATTCAAGAGGCTGCATGTGCCCAGCTTTTACTATCCATCAAACTCTGGTAAATAGCTGCCTTCTGAAAACCTTGGGCTTCCTTTCCGGGTTTGCACCGTGAGCCTCATGACTCTCCCTGCCCGCCTCCCTGCCGTCCTTTTGAAGGTGTCCTTGTTCCAGCCAGAAGGCAAGGAGACATCACCAACTGGTTTGCTATTTCGGTAGCTTTATTTTGTCACTATTGTAGGGCAGCATAAATAATAAGCAAGTGAGAACAGTGAAGTGGTGCAGGAGGGAAATCAGTGTTAGGCACAGAATACAGTGTGAACATGGATTGCAGGGGTGCAAACAGAAAACAAGCCCAGTTGCCTGGCTGTTCTTGGGAATTAAAAGTTTGATGAAAGGTAGACTCCAAATAAATCTTTGGTGCACATTGTGGAGTCTTTTGCAATCTGGCTCTAATTTTCAAAGAAAGTGATTGTCCACATACTGGAGTTGCAGATGTGAAACGCAGCAGGACCAGACGCCCTGAGAAGTTGCCTTAGGAAAGAAGCCTGAAGGTGAGCTTTTTCCTGACCGTTATGGACAAAGCTGATCCTGCCAGATTCAATCTTCTGTACAGTAAAAGCCTATCCTCTAAACTTGCTGGCTTATTCCCTACAACATCTGAACGGGGATGACTTCCAAGCCAAAGTTGAGGGTAGAGCGGGGCTGGTATGGCTTGAATGGCTTTGAATGCTTGCACTTCGTCTTTTGGAGCTGGCCAGCCAGTTAGCTTACTGAAAGCCAGAGCTAGCTGGATCTGAGCCAGGATTATCATTAATACAGCTGCATGGGCTGGCTGATCCAGGGCCAGCATTTTATACTCCTGCTGTTTCCAGAAGTTCCAAGTGCTGCTTGACTTCTAAGTCCTGCATTTACAAATCCTCTCCTAACCCTTTTAGCAGGTGTGCTGAAAGGCCCAGCGCTGCCCTCATGATGCAAACCTCTCTAGGTAATGTGTAAATAACTTCCCAATACAAGTTGTCTCATTCAAGAACGCAAGGATCTTCTAGAGAACTTCACTTCTTCCCATCCAGTGGGCACCGAAACTCAGTTGCCGTTTAATTTAGTCAAGATTCCACAAACAAAATTACCCCTATCTTGTTTATGAGCAAAGGGTGTGTCTCTGGAAGGAGAGGAGAACCCCCACTAGAAGAGCTTGCAGCAAAGGCAATGCAGGATCACAGCTTTCCCCCCCATCTGCAGGGGCAGCCAGCCAGCCGCTTTTTTTTTTCTGAGAGAGAGGGGCATAGGGAATTCAACATTAAGCCGGTTTTCTCCAGCTGTATGCCTTCGGGATGCATTGGCCATCCTGCCTGGAAATTCTGGGTACTCAACACATCCGGATGACTCCAAGCTGAAAGCTGTGCTGGGCTTATTCCATTGGCAGGTGCTTCTGCCTGACCCTCCTGCAAAATTTACCTTTTGATTGCATTTTTCCTGAAACTGCATGTGCTGTTCCTAGTAATGAGGACTAAGAAAGCAGATTCCAGGGTGACGCTGAGAACGGTCTTGGGAGGACAGAGCGGCCCGTGGTAGAGCAAAGCCTGTTCTTTGCCCCTGGAGAAGGGCTGCCAGATCCAGTCAGCAAAATTCCAAGAGCACCAGATGGCCGCCAAGAGATGCAGAACACTGGACGGCGGCTGCCATCTTGCGCCACCTGGATTTTTGCAGCCCAGATAAGGTAAGGCTACACTCAGGGCAGCCTTGAGGCAGCCAGGAGCAGGGCCATTAGGTTGAGCTGCCCCCCTGCCCAGCATCTGTGCAAAACGTCCTGCCCCTTGACTTCGAGGTTGGCCATGACGTACGAGGAGCCAGCCTGGAAGACACGACTCCTCTGGGATGTCCCACCAACCAACGAATAGCGTTCCCGGAGCGGGAGACCCAGAAGCCCCGACCAGCCAGCAGTGGCTGAGCAAGGTGTGAAGGCGGGGACAGAACGGGCTCCGCCTGTGGGAGACAGCAGCTGGCATATGCGGAAACTGGAGGACATGCAGGTGCCCTCACAAAGTGGCTATTATGGAGGAACCATGCCCCTCCCTCCCTCCCCCTCCAGCCCTTTCTTCTGCAGGGTGCCTCCTGCCAGCCCTCTTCGATATCGTGCTTTCTGGGCAGGCAGGTACACTTACGAAAAGCACTGGGTTGAGCACCCCCTCTCCCCTTCTTTGCCCAGCGAATGCCTGTGGGAACAGGCATGATGTTAAGCTCCAGAGGCATTCTTGGAAAGGAAGTCAAGATGGCCAGGATGGTGCCATCAACGCAAAGCCCTCCCCCTTTTGAACGTGTGGCCACCATATTGATTTTTAAACCCCCACCCCCACAGATGCCCCTGGCTGATGCTAAAGGCTGGCACTTTGTTGGGCATTAACTTGCCAACTCCCTATTTTTTTTAGGCTAAACAATCAGAATGGGCATGCAGTTTTGTGAGCACCATGAAAACTATTAGGGCATTGCACCCCATGATTAGATCATTCATCAGCAAGCAAACCTGCATTTAGACAGGGTGGGCAACGGCAACCCATCTCCCTGGGCACACTTGGGTGAGGACTGCCATCCCCTTTTCTTGCCACAAATTGGCCCTTTGCCAACTGCTCCATCAGCTGCTGAAGGACCTGAGCTATGAATCTGTTTGAAAACTGTAAGGACAGGAGCGTCAGATTTAACATATTGTAGCCTGGCACTGTCCAGTATTGTGCCTTACTTGCAAATCTATACGCAGTTACAAATACAGTCCTACAGTCCACTGCTTCTAGAGAAACGAATAAAACACACCTATAACTCCAACAGTTCTTATGGAAGGTACATTAAAAGTGCTTAACTTTTGCTGGGTTAAGATTAACCACCTGCAAAGTCCCTGTCGGCCCCTTCATATGGGACTCTCTTGGTAAAGAGAATGATCTCTGATATGCCTACATGATTGATATATTCACATTTGTATTTCAGACTCTATTCCCTCAAAGGCGTCATCTGCTTGCCACTTAACAGCATCCATCTCCGTCTTTTATCAAGTTTATCTCTAGGGCTCTTGCAACTGCATGGCACACCCCAGGACAGTTCCCAGCAGAGGGGAAGCCATTCCCCTTGGCTCTTCTATGGATCTTTTCAGTTTTGTGTGCCTGCATTCCAGCGGTGTACCCACTGTGTATTGACAGTCACACTTTGCACAAGAAAAAAAAGGTAAATACTAATAAATTCAGTTGCTTTCTGCTGGGCTTACAATGTTGTGCTTTTTCATCCCTGGAACAATCAGGGATGAAAAATGATTCTGTAATTTTGCAAAAATCACAAATAGCAGTACGCTTCTACTTACTTCAAGAGAAATTTGGAATACATACACCCCTTGTTCTTTTCATGCAGTAGTTCTCAAGTTAAATCGTACAAACAACTTTTTAGCGCTAGGCAATGACCACAGAAGAACAGGCTTCCAGTTAGCAGGTGCACCCCTGCGCTGGCACAGGGTCTCTGGCTCATATCGTGTGTTAAGTTGATACAGTAAAATTAAAGCGTGGGTATAAACAAAGAGTTTGTTTAGAAAACGATTTTCAGAGTCCATTGTTTTTGGGACTATTGCGCAAGTTTTTCAATTCCAACTGTAGCTGTCGGATTTTGATGTCTTTCTGCGAAAGCTCAGCTTTCAGTCGCCGGATCTTTAAAGCGTGGGTATAAACAAAGAGTTTGTTTAGAAAACGATTTTCAGAGTCCATTGTTTTTGGGACTATTGCGCAAGTTTTTCAATTCCAACTGTAGCTGTCGGATTTTGATGTCTTTCTGCGAAAGCTCAGCTTTCAGTCGCCGGATCTCATCTTGTTGCCGGAAGAACATTCGGAGGAGCTTCACATAAGAGAAGAAACAGGAAAGGGTCAACACAGTGCAAGACTAAGTAGGTTGGAACGATGCTATGGTGCCACAGGATCTGAGATGGCACCCTTTTGTAACCTTGGGTAGCCTTTTCTTAGAAAAAATGGAGATATTTCATTTTGCATCGACAAGAATGGAACTACTGGGGACCAGCCTGCAAGGATCCTACAGTCCACACTGTCTTGTGGACTTAACAGGGCTTAACATCAGGATGGAGGAGTTGCAATAATTTCCATTTCCAGACTGGAGAGAGGGCATAATTGCTATATCTTACCTCATTCTCTGTTCTGGGTGGTACATTTTCCAAGAGGTCTATCCCATTGACAACAACACTCTTCTTCTCTCTAATTGGTGGTTTAAAAACTACTTTGGATTCTTTCTTATAGCCTTCCTTTAAAGACATCAATATGGGATCTGAAAAACAATACAAAACCCACATCTCAGGATGGGCACCAATGGAAAAATAAACAATAGATACAAGAGCCACCAATCTTATGAACATCACTTTTGCCAGCAGTCATAATCTCCCCATACAATTGGGACGGGGGGGATGTCCACTCTCCAAATTCATTATTGAAGTCATGACTCCTGGAATTATCAACCTGTAGGCCCAATTCTACTTGGCAACTACTCCACTGTTCCCCATAGTTCTGAAGCTGACATGGCTCTCATATTGTCTGGTCAAACAGGTTCTTTTTAGTTCCTTCTGTTGTTAAGATCATTGTTGCTTGGTGATGCAGGCATTCTCACTTACCCAGAATGAGGTGCAGTTTGACAGTCTACCCCCCAAAATATTGAGATTTCCAGGCAATGTTCTCAGAAGAGGCAAACTACCAGATTGTCCCTGTACCAGGGAAGAAGATTCTGAATTGGTTGGCATAAAAGATTGTTTGTGGAAAATAATTGGATTTATCTGGCCCTCCACCTGACTAGCAGCTGCCTGTATAAAGAGATCTGTATCTTTTTAATGATCATAGAGCGTTGAAGAAAAACATGATTTGAAATTGCCGCCCTTCAGAAAGGACTACACAGTCACCAAGCTGGATCAGAGGAAGGTGTGAATCCCAGAAGAGGTGAAAGAAATACGTCTCTTTGCATTTGCTACAGCCCTTTGTACTTTATGTTTAGGTATTTTCTAGCATTTTATGAATGGCATCAACTGAGATACCATACTGTTTTCTGATTATTTACTTGGACAGTTTTCTGATTTATTCATGACATCTCTAGGTACATGAGCAACATGTCCAGGCTATGTTAGAGTAGCTACTTGAACCTGGAGAAATGTGAATTTGACAAGGCACTGGTAGATTTTCTAGGGTACAGTACCCCTTTTCTTCATTTGGCATGCAAATGGGCCCTTCCAAGATGGAAGCAGTACTGTACTGCATTGGCAAACCGCCTGAGGTGTTAAGGATGTCCAACTCTTTCTAGATTTCACCAATAAATTACCAGTGGTTCATCCCCAGATTTTCTGAACCGGCTGCACTCTTCTCAGCGGCATCTGCAAGGACTGGTTACTTTTGTTAGAATTATTAAAGTGGTGTTGTGGTACAAGCTGCATCCCTTTCTACAGATGTGTGATGTTGCTCTGCCGCTAGAAAGGTGGTGGATAGGGACACATCACTGCCACAATACTGCTTACATCACCCCTTGTCCCTCTCTGTGGATGTCAATGACTCTTCCCCAATTTGCTCTAGCCACATGCTCATATCCAAGGGAATCTTGGGAATTCAAGCAGCCCAACATTTCAACACCTGAAACAGGTTTTTACATCCAATCCTCTAGTACCTAAACTCTGAGAAACCCTTTGTGGTAGAAACAGATGCACCTGACAGAACCACTGAACCTTACTTCCTTCTCACTTGGGGAAGTTCAATACTTCAGAATGAAGTTATATGATCAGGAAGGGGCTTATTAACCAGCCCAGGATTAAAAAAAAAAAGAATCCATTAAAATAGAAACTTTTCGTGAAATCAATGGCTGATCTTGGTGAAAAGAGGTGTACTTTAAAAGATGTTGAAGATATTGGGGTACCCTATGGAGAGGACACAATTCTAGGACACGGATGCCACTGCAGAAAAGATCTGCCTCCATGTCATTGCCAAGAGTGAACTTGAAGGCTGTGGCATTTAGACCTATTTTCAGCAAATATTGAGAGGGGGGGGGGAGCATTGTCATTCTGAATATTCTTTAACACTTCTTATCTTGAACAGATATTGACATGATAAATCGATTGAAAGAATTATAACTGAAAATGCTAGGGATATCGGCATATTTTTACAACTCTTTCCTTAATGTCAAACTTCTGACGGATCTGGAAATATTTTTTTAATGCTGTTGACACTGGAATCTCCCCAAAGCGTTGACCATGGAAGATGGTTCAGCTCAGGTTGTTCGTGACTGAGCAAAGGTCAGAGGTGCGTCTGCAGGTGCCAGTGGGCTCACCCCTGTTCATTCCACTCAGCCATTCATCCGGGGTGAGGGCTGGTTCTGGGCCTGGAGTCATTGGATAGATATCTTCCTGGTACGTTTCAGACTAAATCAGAAAGAAGAGAAACGACATGTTTGAAATCATGAGCTGGTTCCAATTTGCCAGGTCTAGACCCCAAAAGTCTAGATTTGCAGTGAGAATAATTAAACCAAAAATGAATCGCCATTTGTCCCATCCTGGCCATCCCTCTCCAGGTTCCTATACTATGAGGAGCCAAGTTACAGCCATTTCAACGTAGTGCGTAGGTTTGATTTTCAGACAGCCATTTGGGAAGAAATGTGCATTCAAATATTCCCAAGCACACCCATTTGACTGGCATTAATAAGATTGAATCCATTGCCTGGATATACATTTTCACATATTGGACTAAACTGCTTTTCTCCCTGGCAGGCCTAACTCCCCAGGCCTTTTCTGATACACAAAAAACTGGAACTCCTGAGTTTTTCCTTAACTCAAGTGCGCATGCTAGAGAAAGGATGCACCACAGAGGCAATCAAGTTGACACTGGCATTCAGATAGAACCGATGTCTCCCCCTAAGAGCTATCTTTAAGTAGCCATGGTACTGTTCCATTAAGTAATCCTTGTACTGTTCTGTTACGAACATCTAATAATGTTTTATTATATTGTCCATTTTATGTTGAAATTGGCGTGAGCTGTTAATCCCACATCTAATTAAATATCCTGATCACTCTGATCAGTTTTACTTAAAACGTTTACTTTCAGATTCACATGATTCCATTTCCTTAAGTGTGGCCAAATTTTGTCATGTTATATGTAAGATGTGCAGCAGTTTGATTGATCTGTTTCCTTCACTGGTTAATCAGTATCAGTTTTGTGTATGTAAAGTGTTTTATGAAGTGGTCATTGACTACAATAAAGAGGAGGAGGAGGAGGAGGATTAGCATCAGCACCCTCCCTCTTCCTCTCCTCTGCTTCGAGCAGGGGAAAAAATGACAGCTCCCTTATTTATCACCTGAAGTAGAAATCAAGACAATGGAATCTCAATAGAAAATATTTGGGTTTGTGGAGCAGGAAGAAAAATGTTCCAAAGATGGAACTGACCTGCAAGTTTCCTATAAAAAACCATTGGGAAGCATTTCCTTTGTGTAAATCACAAAAACTGGCATGGCCACGATGGCAAAATAACTTCCCTTTTTAAGGGCCACTTTTCACTGCAAGCTTAGGCTTGTACTTCAGCACCGTCCCCACTGAATTCCATGGAACCTGCTCCCAAATCTGGCCCAGCTGGATCAATCACTTTGAATATGGTACATGTTCTCATATTTACGTATGGTTTTATTATATCCGCGCATTTATTCAGCTTATCCCTTAGGGTGCCCACAGGTCGTTAACAGTCAAAATCCAGAAAACAAGAGTAATTAAAAATAAAATAAACATTGGTTAAAATTATGCAGTTGCCATCTTTACTTCTGTGGTTCCCCCACCTCTGCAGACCCCTGGGCTCATAGCTGGAAGCAGAAAAGACAAATGCTGGGTCTAATTACTCACTCTCCTCGGTACAATCATAGAGATTGGCTCAATTAATCCTTTCAGCGTAACGAGCTTGTAAAATCGAAACACCTCACACGCAGACACATCCAGGCCGTGCTTCGGCATCACTCCTGCATGTATTAAATTTAACCAGGTATGACTCATGGAAAATTGCTGTCTTTTGATATGACATCACAATAAGCACAGCAGCCCCACAACAATTCTTTGCAGCTTTTTCTACTGTCACTAGGTGTTCCCTTACATTTGAAAATGACATGCACTGTAGCACCAGCTACAGTTTCTATGTGGTTGAAGAGCACAGCTGGTTCAATTGCTGGTTCAATTGATTGTTCTTATGTTCATAAACCTTCTACTCAAGAAGGAAAAGGAACCAGTCACACAACTGTGACAAACAGTGAAAGGGAATCTTGAGAATTGCCAGACAGGAAAGATGAAGATTGGAAAGCTAAACTGGAAAGAGGTGGAGGAGACAACAGAGCAAAGGGAGAAGAAGCTCTGAAGAACACTGACTAAAGGAAAAGGAGCTTGGAATGACTTCGGTGAGATATATCGGGACAGGAGAGTTCTTGGGGCTCTCTGAGCTGGGTTGCCTGTTTGCAGATGATTCATTACCCAACCAGGTAACACCATCAGTGCAAATGAGCACCAAGAACTCCACAGTTCAACCCTGAGTTACATATATTATTTTCTTTAGGAGAATGAGAGCTTGATGGAGCCGAGGCAGAGGGACCATGGAGAAATTTTCCCCATATCTCAGTCTTCCCCTTTAGACAGCCCAGCAGACAATAGGCACCCCTTACCAAGGCCTTTCTGGGGGGCTGGAGAGCGGAATTCCATTAGGTAGCTCAGGTATGGCTTCTCAGTATTGATTTCATAGTATCGGATATTCCCATCTCCCTGAGGAGAGAACAAAAAGAAGAAAAGTAAATTAGAGGCACCCTCTGGATATTATGAATTCATCTACAAGAAAAAAAATAGATCTGTTGGACTGTGAGAAGTCAACAACATCTGTAATCAGACAAGATTATTATTGGGACAATGACAGAAAAGATGTCACAAGCTTTGAGTGCTCCCAGACTGCTTTTTGAAATGAAGAACTGTGGAGAATTCAAAAGTTGGAACACATTTTATTGTTTGAACTCATAGTCAGACCTTCATTGGTCAACAGCGTCAACATGTTTAAAGCAGTTTCCTATAGAATCTCATTTTCCTCACAGCAGTTTTGTGAGGTATCACCAGTTTCCTAAGAATTAGAGTGAGCATCACCAGAGTGAGGTAAATGGAAGAACAGACTTGGTTGTACAGGTAGTCCTAGCTTAACGACCATTCATTTAACAACAGTTCAAAATTACGACAGCCTCGGAAAGGGTGCTTTATGGCCCATAAGCACTTCTGGCCATCGTAAAACATGGCGCCACCTCCCCATAGTCATGTGGCTGCATTTTGGACACTTGGCAACTGGCTTGGATTTACGACTGGCTGCCAAGCACCCCGCGATCATGCAATCGTCATTTGCGATCTTCTCTGCCAGCTTCCCCATTGAAGCCGGCAGGGAAGGATGCAAGCAGAGAGGACGCAGCAGTGGGCAGTTACGGAGTTCAAATCTTCCCCTCCCCCTCCAGTGGTGTGAGGCACGGACCTCAAACCTTCAGGTGCTCCATTCACTACTGAGAGAGGGGAGGGGAAAGAGGATGGAGCGAAAGAACTGTCTGCTGAAGGATTTCAGCTCTGCGTGGAGCTGGAATCCTTCAGCAGACAGCTCTTTCACTCCGTCTGCTTAACAACCCAGGGGGTGCCCAGATTGCAGTCATTGAAGGAAGCAGCCAGTGGGCATCTCGCTCAGTGACCACTTCGCTCAGTGACCAAGATTCCAGTCCCAATTGTGGTCACTAGGCAAGGACTACCTGTATCCCTTTTGGAGGCATCTTCTTCAGATTTTGAGGACAAGCCTTCAGAATAAGAATCTTTAAGAGGACCACAGTTGACTGTGCTGAGTGCTGAAGTCCTGGATTCTGGAACAATCTCAGGATGCAGGTATTGGGTGGCTAGGGGCCATTTATTAGGACTGAAGATGAGGCCGATTTAGCCTTAGAGATGTCAGATATTTTAGAATCTAGGCCCAAAGGTACATTCCTAGGCTGAAAATTAGGTTATCTTGTCAATAAAAGCTTACAAAGAGAGTATTTCTTGTTGAACTGAAGGTTGACAGCTAAGACATGAGGGGGAGCCATGGGGTTCAAGAGTTTTGGCTTTCTAAGACCTCACTCCTTAGGAGCTACCACTGGAATTGGAACTGCATGTTAATTCTCCTTGTTGTACTTCTGACTTTTCCTTGATATGAGGAAACCCTGGTTCTTTAACTGGATCTGCATCCTGCTTTGGAGTCTGTGAAACTCATGAATGCTTATGGATAAATGATGGTCTGCAATCTGATGTTACTAGTTCAACCATGGCAGCCCATGGCAGCAACATCTGTCTCCAACTCATCTAATTCAAAACTACCCAAAGTTCACTGAACTTGCCAAGACTAAGCCACCAGTGAATTGGTCTCTCTTGACCTTTCATACATTACATGACCTTATTTGTTTCATCTAACTTACTTCTCCTGGATTTATTCAAAGCAGCTTGCCTCTTCCCTCATGACTTCAAGGCACAGGAAACAAGTTCTATTAATTTCAATAAAATTAATTCTAAGAATGCATGTACAGAATATCAAACTAAAAAACAATATTTAAATATGGAATTAAACTGGTTGACGTAGGGATGGACAACATGGTGTCTCAAAGTGCCCAAGATACACCCCTATCTAAATAGAATAAAATTTCACATGCGATCTTTGCAGTTGGGTTTTGGTCCTTGTCCCCAGTTCCACATGAATGAATGCAGTTTTGAGTGGGTGTAAAGGTGTATGTGCGTGCATCCCTCTCAGCAGATCATGGTTAGTGTAGAACACTTGCAGAATACAACAGGCCTCCTGCACGGCAATAATTTATGCTCAGAAGCAACCCTCAAGCACCTTGCCAGCCAGGTACAACATGTGGGTGTCAGCATCATAGAATGGGAAGAGAAGCCCTGATAATCCATCAATCTCCTCCTCTATCAGTGGCATGGACAGATCTTCCTGGAGGAATGCAAAATAAACAAACAAATATTTTGTAAGTTTGTGTGCAAATGGTGCAATTTTCAAGACAGATGCTAAACACAAAGTCACATTAAGTCCTTGAAGAGTATTCGGAAGCTTCAGCTGGTGCAAAATGTGATGGCACGGGCAGTTATGTGTGCCTCTAGAACGGCACATGTGACACTTCTGCTCCATGAGCTGCATTGGTTACCAGTTGCTTCCGGGTGCAACTCAAGTGCTGGTTTTGACCTTTAAAGTCCTTCATGGCATGGGGCCGGGTTATCTGAGGGACCGCCTCCACCTGATTACATCTGCCTATCCTGTCAGGTCCAGCAGAAGAGGCATGCTACAGGTCCCATCCTCTAAAGAATTACATCTGGCGGGACCCAGGAGATGGGCCTTTCCTGCCATGCCACCCTGTGGAACATCATCTCCCCCAAGGTGATGACTGGCCCCATCCCTGATATCCTTCAGGAAGTCCCTTAAAACGTGGTTGTGCCCACAGGCTTGAGGGTCTCAAGGTGGCAGTGAATTAGTGAGATGGCTTTATTGCCTAAAACAATAATTCTCTCTGCTACTCTGGTACTGGTAACTTTGATTGTGTTTTAATTGTTGATTTTTTTAATTGTTAATTTTTTATTATTGTTTTTTACCGTATGCCGCCCACACATTTGTGAGATGGGTGGCTATATAAATATGATAAATAAATAAATACAGACAGACATACAAGAATTCTATAGTGCCTTGAGTATGTTGGTTGAGCTCATATACTGCAGTAAGCCATGGCTTGCTTAATCATGGGGTTGTTGAATAAGTTGTAAAATGAGGTTCATACACTCACAGAGCCATAATGTCATGATTTACAAAGTGCTAAGTTCACACAATATAATAAGCCAAAGTCCAAATGGGGAAAAGCTAAATATCATTTGTAGGAAAAGCTTCTAGCTGCTGCTATCCTGAGTTCACCCTTGTTTCACAGCTCCACCGATGAGCTAAGACAGAGGCAAACAGAAGTCTTTCTTTTCAATTAAGCTGCAAAAGGAGGTTTTCGTTTTGCTGGGCTTCTCACCTAGCGTGTGTGCACACATGCAATTATTTTTCTGACCTGATCCCAGAGGGCAATCTGCCTGGTGTTCCAGCGTGACACACCAGTTGTCAGAAGCCTCTTGACGTTCCCCAAGAAGACAACACGGTTCACACGGTGGTTCTTGCAGTTTGCCTCCTGTGAAGACAACCACAATCATCTACTCAAAAAGCTGGCCACTCCTTCGCTGGAATGACAAAACATCACCTTCCAAAAATGCCTCCGGATCTTAAAACAATTTCATCCAACACTATGTCCTGTATAATTAATAAAAAATTAAAGCAACATTTTAATAGCCACTCCTTAACTAAATGATGCAGTGAAATCTCGGTTCTCTCTACTGAAAATTAATTTCACTTAGCAATTTATCCATGCTCAGCTGCAGGGAGGTGGGAAGTACAGTAGGGTGGGCTGGGGGTCAGGGCTAACACCTTCTTCCCAAATTATCAGCTATGTTCATACTTTTCTCTGAACACTCATTCTACAGATTCCTGAGTTACAGACCCACTGAACTATGGCCACAGTCGAAGGTGTGACTGCAGGGAGGGGCCCAAAAAGTTGCAACTGGGGCCATCATTTTGACTTTTTTTTACAGACACACACAGAACAGCTATGCACAGCCTGTCTCCAAAACTTAGGAAAGGCCCATTGTTACGTCAAATGCCAAAATTTAAATGTAAAGCTGTTTAAATTTAAGACAGAGGAATCTGTCTATTTTCTTTCAAGCTATAAACAGCCCTTGAAGACTCTGATTTTGACTGGCAAACTTGTCGGAGGGGATCGGAGGTAAGGCTTTTTCCTTCAACCATTTCCTTAATCTGAAATGCCCCCGCCCCAAACTGCAGCTGGTTCTTCTGAGGAGAGAAAAGGCATTCTAGCAATTAGACAGGGAAGACAGATCTGAGCAAAAGGATTAAATGCCCTCTCTTCCATACGTACCATTGTGATCTCAGCTAGGCAATGATGGCTGTTTCAAAAAAACCCAGTCAAGTGACCAAATCAGAACTGCTTCACGTCTTCTCCATATTGGCCCTTCAAAGAAGCTCCTACCTGGAGGACTTTGCCTGAACGTGGCTCAATGACCCGTAGCTTCCTGTCTTTGCAAGTGGTGGACAGCAAACTGCCGTCTGTGTTGAAGGACATGCAAAGGATGACATCAGAGTGGCAGTCAATCATCTTCACTGGCTCGCCAATATCTAAGTTCCAGATGAGGACCTGAGAATGAGAAGAGGCTCTGCAATTTCAATGACTTGCTTACAGACATCTCACAGAAAATATTTTAACGTCCTCTCCCTCCTGCTATTCAAGACAGCTTCAGGAGGCCAAAACAGAAAGCAGCAAGAAAGCAACATATTTTCAGAACCAGTTGCAATATAACCAAAAGCATGGAGGAACAGTAAACAAGAAAATCAGCATTTGGTATCTAAACTCTTTTGGCAGCCGCCAACCTTTTTGGAAATCAAGAGAGAATGGAGCTCTTCCCAAGCTCCCTGAGAAGGTCAAGTTACTTTCATGCTTCTGGAAGACAGTGTTTGGAATTGGGCACAAAATCATTTTCTTTGTTTGTTTAATTTAAGGCATTTTGAGTGTTCTGATGGCTCAGAAAGTCTCCCAGGGTGATAAACAGATCAACCACAAGCATGATGATCTCTGTCCTTAAAAAACACACACACAACACAACACAATAGCAAAAGGCTTGAGGAGAGAAGGACCAATAAATACCCACTCCACTTGCCTGAGCAAAAGTGACCAGAGCAGGAGGAAGGGCAAGGGACTATGCTTTCCGTGTCCTGAACTTTATCAGTCGGAAGACTGGCACAGATTCATCCCCTCTCCCTAAAGAGAGCTTCCGCCCCATCACGTCTTCACTTGGAAACCCTCTATTTCCGGAGACACGCGTTAAGGCTCTCCCTCTGAGCAGAAGACTAAGGATTAAGCGCAGCACGCCTGGCATGCCTCCCAACAGACGGCAGCGTGCAAATCCTCAGCATCAGAGGGTTTCTGCAGCAGACAAAGCAGAATGGTAAAACTGGTTGAAAACGACTGCCCTTCAGCAGACACTTTCCTTAGTCCTGCTGTTATGGAAGGGGGCATCTCCAAGGTAGAGTTCTGCATCTGCAGACCACGCTCTCCATTCCAAGGAGTACTGCTTAACAGAGTGAGAGTGGCCTGAGCCACGGCGCAGGGGTGCCTGAATGATCGATGGGCTCCACTGGAGACATACCCAAGCCTTACCTATGAGCTTCCAGGATGAATATCCACCCCAATGACTATCCTGAAACTTCCAAAGTGTACCTACAGTAGGTCCTCTCCTTCAGGACTAGGATGGTTCTTTATGCTAACAGGAGAAGCTGCAAGTTCTGACCTTCTGAATGAAATGTTTTTTTTTTTTCTTGGCAAGTTCTGTTCAAATGAATCAGGCAGGAAACCACACAGGAAGAGCAAACCAGCACCTAATAGGCATCTAATAGGCCTATAATTTAATGGATTTTTTTGGGGGGGGAGGGTCCCTTCAGGTCAGTCTTGACTCCTGGCAACTGCCTGGACTAGTCCCTGCAGTTTTCTTGGCAAGGTCTTTTGGAAGTGGTTTGCCATTGCCTGCTTCTTAGGGCTGAGAGAAAGGGACTGGCCCAAAGTCACCCAGCCAGCTGCCATGCCTAAGACCGGACTAGAACTCACAGACTCCCGGTTTCTAGCCTGGTGCGTTAACATTACACCAAACTGGCTCTTTTAATGGAAGGATAGGGTAATGGAATTTGTAGTCCAGTATCTCTTAGCCTACAGATATGCTGGGTTATATCTCCAATGGCCCTATTTCCCATCAGGTAATGTTAGGTGGGCATGGTGGGGGTGGTTGTTTAACTTGTCTGAAGGGTACCATGTCAGGAAACACTATTTTACAGCATTTGGCCTGGAAGGAACAAGGCCAGAAAGCAGTAGTTCCAGCACTGGCTGGAAGCAGATTGATGCCTTCAAGACAATCCTTTATCCCTTGGTCCCCTTTAGGATTATTCCAAGGAGAGGCACCTCAAAGAAATAAGCCAAACTGCCTTATGGATAAAAGTGGTCCAAAATGGAGCACCAACAAGTTGCCTATTTGTGCAGAAAAGAAGGGAGAAAGGGTTTAGAAGATACAAAAACTGTACTCCAAGCAGATATTCTTGTCTGTGACTACAGAAAACCTTGAGGCGAAGGCAAAGAAGAGCAAACTGGGGGTGTAAAGAAAGACCCTTCTTCCTGGCCCACCTTGGAACCACTGAATTAAGAGCGGGATGCAGCTGATGGAGGACGTGCTGGGCAGAGAAAGCCTCCTTTTGTCAAGTCAAAGCGGAGAGGGGGATGCCTCTGTCTGGGCTCTGCCCACAGTAACTCACTGCAGCTCTTGTGGCTTGGGGCACGGGCTCTCTTAACCATCTTTCTTCTTTGTATCAGTCCCAAATTTTGAGGACTTCCTGAGCTTTCTGTTAGCGATCTCTCAAGCAGTTTGGGGAGTCTAAATCAGCTGCTTTAAATTCTGTTCGTTCCGATACCATCTCCCCTCACAATTGGCCCAGGGCTTTTGCTCTGAAGAACATCCCAGCTACTCAGGATGTTCACCCGTTTACCTTATAGTCATATCCAGCACTGAAGAGGATGTTGGTGGTGGTTGGGTGCCACTCGATGATGCCAACACGTCGGCTGTGCCCATACAACTCCAGGACGGCCTCTGCCATGTTGCGCTTCAAGCCTCCCGCTGGGATTTCCCATATCCGAACCTTGAAGGACAGGAGAGCAAAACGCTTCTGTGAGCTGATCGCCCGGTCTCCTTGCCCGGCCAGACAACGCAGGATTCAAGGCACGCTGAGGCTGTGGGAGTAGTAAAACGACTGAAAGGCTCAGGGAGGCAGCTTTAAATTGTCCATTCCTGCACATCTGGAACCATCTGCCTTTTTAAAATAAGCCTTCCAAGGTTCCCTGGAAAACCTGGGGATCCCTTGGAAAATCTTGGCCCCCGGAGAAGGTTTTTCTTCCTCTCCTGGGCATCTCCCTGGATTCCTTTACATTGGGCCCTTGAACCCTCAACAGTTCAACAGCTTTTCGGTTCACATCTGCAGACGCTGTCCACGGAGACACTGAGGCAGGAAGGGCCCCCACCCAGCAGAGTGGCACAGAACTCATCTCTCTGGGGAGCTCTGCCCCTTCCTCCTCCTCCTCTCCCTCATCGGCTGCAAAGAGCTGCAAACAAGCTTTAGCCTCAGGCTTGGCCTGCGTGCGCCAATCGCTTTGAGCTCCACCTTGTCTTTGCTGCAGGGATGCAGGTGACCTTGGGGAGGTCGAGGGGAGAAAGAAGAGCTGCGGCAGCAGCTCTCAGAGCAGGAAGGCGGCCAACTTCATGCAAGCATGAAAGCGCCACACGGCTGGCTGGCTTCAGGTTCACCGAGCTCCATGAGTCCCTGCATTATGGTTTGTAAATCATGGCTTATGATTTAACATGGTGTGGGGACTCGACACATTTTCGTTTATTTAATGAATTCCGGGTCAAAGACACATTGTTTAGTGTTTTGTGAAAGGCTGGCCCCGTCCAACCCAGCAGCCGGCTCAGAGTTTCCAGGGCAAGAGGAGCTTCAAACGAAAGGGGGAGAATCGTTCCCCCTGGACCCCGAGACGGCTTCTCCCATCATTATACAAAGTCCTGTGTCAGACTGAAAAGGAGACCATCCACCAGGGCCTTTATTGAGTGGGCATGGGGTATCCATGGGAGAGATTAAAAGAAGTCAAGATGGTGGCCACGACCACGACCGTGCCATTGTCACCCTGCCCCTTTTTACTTCTGCCGTGCACGTGGCACATGTAAAAAGGGGCAGGGCTTTGGTCACACAGCCATGGCCACCATCTTGAATGTTTTGTCTCTTGTGAATATTCCTGGGTGGGCAGAAATTAAAGCCGTAACGTTTTTATGGCAACAACATCCTTCGCTAGGAGCTGTCACTGCCTTGTAGCGCACAGATGTTTGGGGGGAAGGTTGATCCGTCCCCTGTCCTAAATTACAGACTGTAAACTCCACGGGCAGAGAGCCGTCTTCTCACTGCCAGCAAAAACTTGGGACAAGGGTGGCGCCTTGTGCAATCTGGCAGGCTAATAACTGAGGTCACGAATTGCGGCCTCTTCTTCAACCTTTCGTAGTTCTGGCTCCTCGCGAGGGTCCAGACAGCAACGTCCTGGAGGCTCCGATGCCCAAATGAGCTGGGGCTGCCTCTCGCTTCAAGCAGGGTCTCTCCCGCTCTGAATTATCACTGGTTTAAAATTATTTCCAGGGTTGGGCTGTGGGCAGCACCGTGGAGCTCAGCAAGATCAGCTGCTTGCATGGTGAGAGAGGAGGATGGTCCACCTTGCAGAGGGGCACCACGAGGCAGCAACTGAGTGGCAAGGGGGGCACTGAAGTACCAGAGCCCTGGTCTTCTCCAAGTGGGTCGACTCTCGCCTCTCAGTTATTTGGTTAAGACGTGTAAACAGGCTGGTACATTGTCTTTCATGGCACAAACCCATTTTTTTTTAATGCCATTAAATGTCAGATGTTTACATCACATTAAAAAGGCCACCAGTGTTTAAAACCTGGGAGGAGGAAGGGAAAGGCAGGGACAGCCTGGCAGGGAAAAGGGGAGACGGTCAGCTCCATGGAGCCAGGTCTGCTTCTCTCCGCCCCAGGCTAGGGATGGCTTGACCAGGAATTTGCGCTCTGCTCTCGGAGCCCCATGAGAGCTGCCCAGCCTCAGTGGTGCAGAACCGGAGCAAGGTCAGCGTTCAGGCACAGGATGTGGGCCAGGAAGACCCGGAGCAGCACCCGGGAGACTCCGGGCCACTCACTGTCCCTCAGCCCTGCCTACCTTGCAGCTGTTTGTGGGGAAATAAAGTGGGAAGAGGAAATGTAGCCTCCTTCAGGCCCTGAAGGCGAGGTGGGCCATAACCCTAACAAGGAAGCAAATGAACCTGGTCTTGCACAGCTGCTGGCTGCCATTTGGCTTCTGGCTCGGCTACGAGTGAAGGTTCGGAGGTGGCTTAGGATCTCAGCCCTGACGTTCCCTTGAACCCAGGGAGGTCCCATAGCGAAGCATGAGGGGCATCACAGAAGCTTGCAGAGGGTAGGGCATCCCTAGGGGATGTCGAGAAGTCAGGATGGCAGCTGCAGTGGCATAGTTGAGGCTGTCCCTATTTTATGACGCTCTTAAAAAAAAAGAGTGCAGCGTCAGCTGTGATGTTGTGGCCACCATCTTGACTTTTTGGACCCCTCCCCCCAGTGAATGTCTTTAGTGAATGGAACTGGCACAGTAGATCAAGGGGGCTGCAACAGATATTCCAAACCGGGGGGGGCTGCGCTTTTTTCTAGCTCTCTCCCGGTGCAATGAACCTAAGCAGCTACTGAGTAAACCTTTTTTTTAATCTGTACAACAACTATTTTTAAAGCTGGCATTGTCCTTTTTTTGTCATACTGATGTAAGGATGTTATGAACATAAAAGCCATGTTTTTAGAGTGGAAATGTTTCAGATCAGCTGTTTTCAGATGTTCTGTGGGCTAAGAAAAGATAGAAGTAGCTCCAGGAAAACTTGGAAGTCATCAGGCTGAGGACAGCTTCTTGAATGTCCTGTAAAACGTGAAGGAAGAGGTAGGGCAACTCCCCACCAAAGATGAAAAGGCCCCAGTGAAGGACCTTTCAGCAGTTAGCTCCTCTTGTTTTCAATTCTTACTCCCCCAAACAGCTGTTCATTTAAGGATCCTTACTTACTGAAGTGTCTTCTGAGCAAGAAGCAATGATGTTTTCAATGAAAGGGTTCCACTTGATATCGAGCACATTCCCCTGGTGGCCACAGACTTTGGGGTAGTTTGGTTCAATTCGACCAGTCTGCAATAAAAGCAACCAAGAACCCAAGATCAACAAAGACTTACCTTCAGTAAGATAACTGACACTATCAACAGAAAGTCAACATGAACCAAGGAAGTATCTGAACTTCCCAGATTAGAAAAAGTTTTACTGGTTAGTTAAAGAAATAACAACTTGATTTTAAAATCTCTGATTTAGAATATGAGGCGAATGAGAATCTCTCTTTTAGAAAGCAGGCTGTTTTCCTGAAATTCTCCAGCAAGTGGTATGGAAAACTCCAAGTCAATGAAAAGAAATTGAAAATGCTAACACCGCTGGGGAAGTTGTTTGATTATTTTACATTTTTTTGCATTCACACACATATTCACACTTGTTCAAGCTTATGAATTCTTTCTTTTGTAAGATGAAGTCAAAGGACCTTTCAGGTTAGTATCCTGTCTGCCACAGAACCATCTCCTGTTTCCTACCCCAAATCCAGAGTCAGGCTTAACCCAGAAATATGCTGCCACTGAACATGAAAGCTCGACTGATAACTGTCATGGTGACAGCTGCATGGAGGAAGCAGCCATTACCATTGTCCATGGGGGACTCCTGAGGCCCCACCAGTTGAGTTCAGGAAATGACTCACCCAACACCCAATTTTCTAGTTCCAATTATTGATGATTTGCAGGCCTAACTGGACTGAAGCCCATCTGATCCTCCATCAAAGCACCAGACATCTGATCAACCCTTGCTTCATTCATCTCACTTTGCCAATCTTTCCACTTCATTTCAATTTCTTTACTGACATTTGCAGATTAAGCAAGAAGATTTGAGCTATGCTTTGTATTTATCTACCAACTTCTACCAACTCACTTAAGGGCATACTTAAGGGACAACCAGCCATAATTATTTGCCTTCAGCCACTGTAGATTTTGTTCTTCTGGATAAGATGCATCTGGGAATCTTTTTTTAAAGCAGATGTTGACGTTCCCATATTATCTTTGCTTTCCACCAGTCATTTGTTGAGCTGCTGAGATACCACAGAATAAAAATCTGACAAGCAATTCAGCAATGAAAGAGAATTAAGAATTCACTGGGCTGGTAGGGAGTAAAACAAGTAACTGAGTGAGAGTTTTGATGGAACTAAGAGGGTAAATTCTTCCTTTAAAGAGCAAATACCCATCACAGATAAATATCCTCATAAATATCCCAGCATTCTGGACATGGAGGTACCCGAAACTGAATTTGCCATTTGGGACTTCCTGTACCAACACTAAAAGGAACACAAATCAGTAATGGGAGAGCTGCTTTCAGGCTCAGGCACCTGTCATCCAAGCCCTCCACTCTAGAGAGCCTGGGCAAAAGGGTTAGGTTGCCTGAGACACAATCAAGAAGCCAAAGAAAGGAGAGGTGGGTTCCTAGGACACCAGAGGCATACTCTCACTCAAGGAAGCTTGCTGCTCTGAAGCAGTCACTGTGAAGGTGTCAGATACGTAAGCGGAAAGGGAGTCTGACCTGCAGGCACCTGTGCTGGAAAACGTGCTTTGGCACATATCAATGCCAGATTTATTTTATGTTGGTCCTTTTTCATAATTGGATGTCTATGGCCTCTTATCTGTAAGCCTGAGGTTTACTGCCTCCAAACGTACAAGCCTTTGATGTTCTTCTGGTATCAAGAAGATTCAACCACTGGAGCCACGTAAGGGGAAGAAGAACCACGCTCTGCTCCTGCCCCCCTCCCAAGCACGGGCTGCCTAATTTTTAAGAAAAGTCGCCCTTCTCCTGCTTCTGAGGAACGTTTTTCTCCCCTGGCAGATCCTAACTCAGGGACACCAAATATGGCATAAACTGGAGAGGAGGCAGCCGGCAGGGAGATCCTGGACAGCACACGTTGTAACCGAGACTGAAGAAGGTTAGAAGGTTTAGTTAAGAAGGTTTCTTAAGAGAAAAATGAAAATGCAAGAGGAAAAAAACAGGGGTCAGTGTAGGAAGGTAATCTTCGTGCTAAGTGAATTTACAGATGCTGACAAAGAAATGAAGATTATTGATAGTTTTGCCTTCTTAGGCTTAAGAATAAATAAAAATGAGCAGGGTGCTAGAGAAGAGGAGATGAATCCTACGAAGCAAGGCAATGGTAGACAAATTCATGACGGATAAGGACGTTTTGGTGACAACAGAGATCAGAACAGACACAAACGTATTCTTTCCAGTGCAAATACGTAGCTGCAAAAGCTGGACACTGGGAAAGAAGATGCCTTCAAACGATGGGTTTGTAGATTGTTGTGAAAAATACTTGCACTGCAGAAAGAACCAACCAATTAGCCCTGGATTAAACAGACCAGCAATTAGAAACTCACAGACTTTGGGCATGCAACGTGAGCTGATGATGGACTAAAAAAAAACTCATTACGTTTGGTGAAGCTGAGGGAAACGGAAGAAAATGATAGCACAGATACGGTAGGTGGACAGAACCAAGAGATTATGGGAACGCCCTTGAAAAGCTGCCAGTCGGTGAGCGTTTGGAATAAAACCAGGCGCAGTGGCATCTTACTAAGAAAGAAATCGTTCTGGAACAAGCAGCATGGACACGTGTCTCCCCCTCACATCCCTCCTGCCTTCCTCATGTGGGTCTCTCTCCCCAGTCTTGGTTATTTTCCTGAAGACGAGTTGGTGGAGAAAAAACTTGAGAAGCTACGGCGTTTCCCGCTGGTCACTGATGGAAAAGATGCTGAACTAGGTGGGGCCACAGTGGGCTGGCTGAACAGGGACGTCCTTTGTTCAGCTCAAACGGAGATAATGTCTTCTTGGCAAACTGCCCCATTAGCAGCACAGCACAACGCTGGAAGTATTACGGTGCGCCATCAGCTTACAGAAGAAATCGCCACATACAGTTCAGAAATGTTTATTTCAAAAGGAGCATTAGAAGTGTCTCAGTCAAAATGAAGCATTCAATAGATCTTCCTCTCTGAATATTCGGTCAAAACTTATCTTTACACTGCAAAACCAGTTTTAAGAATTGAAACTTTAACCAGCAGAGGGTGCTCCTGGGCATCCGTAAGACTGCTGGAACCATCAAATGAAACAGATCCAATTTATGGAATAATCAAGAAAAGGCTGATTTATTAATCTGTGTTACACCTGTGTGTTTTCTGGTTTCCCTCCCCCCCCCCAACAACCTCCAGGAGAGTTTCGGTCATAATGGTACATAGTGAACTGTGCTACTTTACTTGTGCAACAAATATGTGGAGCAGGGTTCTTCAACCTCAGCAGCTTTAAGATGGGTGGACTTCAACTCCCAGAATTCCCCAGCCAGCATACTGGCTGGGGGATTCTTGGAGGTGAAGTCCACCCATCTTAAATTTCTTGGGGTGGGGGACCCCGAAGGAGAGTGCTTTGGAAGGGTGGGGGGGGGACGCCCGG